TATATATATATATATATATATAATTTTAAAACCTTTGAATTGGTTATAGTATTAAAGTAAATGTTGATATACCAATTAGGCCTCTGCCTAAGAGAAAAACCTCATTTAATAAAACATATTTTTATGAAAATTTATATTATGTTATGGGGCCAAACATGTTTTATATATATAAAACAATTAAAATCATTTTCACAGATAATAAAACTTACCCCAACAGAAACTTAATCATAAGTACAAAAGGATCAACTTTATATGGCTTGGCTTGTTTATCCAACATAGTAGCATATTCTAAGCAATGACCTGGTGATTAAAAAAAAAAAATTATATGTAGTAAAGAATTCATAGTGATTAAGTATAGACTTATCATACACTGACTGCATTACCTGTAAGAGCAATATATTTCTTGTTACAAAGCAAGGGTCATTACTATCAAAGACCCTATCTTCAAAAGATTAAAAATCACTGTAATTCAACAGATCTCATACAAGAGGACACAATCACTTGTCAAACAGCTTCAGGAAGCCAAAGCTGGGGTTTTACCATTTGTATTTTCACAAAGCTCCAAAGGTGATTTAAAAAAAACAACTCTATAGAGATGTGATTCTTATACTACACAATTCATTCAAAATATATGCAATCCAGTGGTTTTAAGCATTCACAGATATGCCTTCCTCACCACAATCAGTCTTAGAATATTTTCATTACTCCCAAAACGAACTTTGTTCCCTTAACTGTCACCTCCAATGTCTCCTTATTCCCAGGCAACAACTAATATCTTTTCTGTCTTTATAGACTGGCCTATTCTGAACATTTCATATAAATGAAACCATGTAATATGTGGTCCTTTATGATGGGATTTCACTTGGCATGTTTCCAAGATTCATCCATGTTGTAGCACCTATCAGCACATTTTACTTATCCATTTATCAGCTGATAGATATTTGGGTTGTTTCCACTTTTTGGATATTATTAACAGTGCTCCTGTGAACATGTACGTACAAGCTTAGTATGGGTGTATGTTTACATTTTTCGTGTAACCAGGAGTACAGTTCCTGAGTCATACTGTAACTGCCAGACTAGTCTCCAAAACACCTATACCATTTTATATTCCCAACAACAGTGCATGAAGGTTAAAATGAATACTAAAAGTAGACTTGAAATTTTAAGTTATTGAAAGGGAATGAGTAGCTGGAGAAGGATTTGGCAAGATGGAAATGGTAAAGGTTATTTCTGGACAGCTTTTACGTATTTTGGTCCTACTCTCTTCCTATCTCTTACTATCCAAGCCCAACAAGTGTGTGAGGGCCTTACAAAGTAGGCTCCTGGGAAACTATTCTAATTGCAATAGACTAGGGAAGGTTTTGTGCAATGTAGTGTCTATTCTGTATTTGCCTCTCCAGATCCATTCCATCGCCACCCTTTACTTTGCTCTGAATTCTGGGAGGCTGACTTCGGTTCAGTGAATGATAGGCACTGGAAGATAAGAGGAAATAAGGTTAGTGTACTTACTTCCCCATCTTTCTCCCTGCTGACAGTGGCTGGAGCTGCAGTAATGCTGCCCTCTCGTATAGCTCTCTCTAGGCTTGCTCCCTCTCTTGCCCTAGTCCTGAGGAGTATCAGATGGATCTGTTGCTAATCTGGCATTTTATCATTTCTTGTTGGTTTCCCCTAACCCATCACATACCTTTCAAATAGTCCCTTTATTAAGATTAACTCTCAATTATTCCATTCAGTGTGCCAGAACCTGATACAGCTGATAACAGCCCAAATAATATGCTGAATGCCTACTATGTGCTTGACACTATGTTAGGCACCAGGAATGGAATGAAGAACAAAATCCCCATCAGTGAGACTCCACCTGTTAAGACATCCTCAGAAGAAAGGGAAAAACTTCAGACACAAAAGTATCTTTTCCTTACTGGAAAAGCCCAGTAAGGAATCTTCTTGAGTATTTCCTAAAACTAGAGGATCTCAAACCCTTGTAAACTTAAGAGATAGGTCATAAATTTTCAAGAAATTGAGGTATTCCTTAACCACATGACAGATAAATAAGTAGAAATGAAGCACTAAAGAAGAAAGGGAGAAAGAGAGGAGGAATAGAAACACTCTCACCTGTTGAGAAAAGAGAGTACAACTGTCCTCCATAAGCAAGAAGGATACTAGATGTAACATAAGCAGGAAGAGCTCCACCATGAAATCTAACTACCTAGAAAACAGGCAAATCAAAAGGCAACTTTTGAATATTTGTGTTAATGAAATAAATGTACTTTCACATGAAATAAAAATGTCTTTCTTCATTTTATCTTTCCTGACATTGCCAGTGGTATACTTCCAGTAATGGATACCAAAACTCTAAGTAAAATAAATGTGAAGAATATACAGCATGCTAGAAACATGTTATCAGATTTTTTTCATAAAGGTGTAACAAAAAATATATATAATTAAGCAGCATATGTATGTTACAAAGTTTTCTTACAAGGTACATTTGGTGAGCATGTATTTAATATGTTTCAGGTTTGATACTAAACATTTTATATGCATTATCTCATGTTCTCCTCCTAAAAATCCTTTGAGGTAATTCTTATCCCTGTTTTACAAATGAAGAAATTCAGGCACAGGGAGCCCAAGTAACTTGCACAATTAAAAACATAAAAGACAAGCAAATTACTTGTTAACTCAATGTTCTCATCAGTAAAATGGAGGCAACAGCAGTACTTACCTTATAGGTGTTTTCAGGTTTAAAGATGTTCATTTGCGTAAAGCATTTAGAATATTAACTTAAACATGAAAAGCTATCAAAAAATATTAGCTATTACAGGCATACCTCACTTTATTGTTTTGCTTCATTGTACTTTGCAGATAATTGTGTTTGTGTTTTGTTTTTTTTCTTACAAATTGGAGGTTTGTGGCAACTGACACTGAGGAAGTTTACTGGTACCATTTTTGCAACAGAATTTGCTCACTTGGTGTCTGTCACTTTTGATAATTCTCACAATATCTCAAACTTTTTCATTATTATGTTTGTTATAATGATCTATGATGATTAATGACGACTCATGGAAAGCTCAAATAATGGTTAACATTTTTTAGCAGCAATAAAGATTTAAAAATTAAGGTATGCATAGTTTTTTTTAGACATAATACCATTACACACTTAATGGACTGCAGTATAGTGTAAACATAACTTTTGTATGTACTTTTATGTCATTTGACTTGCTTTATTATAATATTTGCATTATTGTGGTGGAACTGAACTCACAACTCCAAGTATAAGCCTGTTGATATTTCTTAAATAGGGAGCTGTTTAAGGGGGGAAGGGAGGGATGAGCGGTTTTTATGTAAATGGAACTAAAGTCAAAAATTATTCATAGATAAATGACTATGAAAATCTAATTTATTTGGTCTTTCTCAATTTAGAGAGTGTTCCATCTATGTACTGCGCTCAATGTGCTTGGCACTGGGAATATAAGGGTGAGCACTAAGGAGTTTACAATGTAGTGACTTTGCTGTAATCTCATTAACAATTTAACACTTCAGTATCATTAGGTGCTTTAACTTCAAAGTCCTGGAGTTTTAAGGACAGATGAGGCAATGGAATTCCAGGGTATTCATTTACTCACTTAGCCACTGACATTTAAACAAATTCAAGTCTCACCCTCAGAACAGTGACAACACCTTCCCTTCACTCTACTCCCCTTCTCTCTCTAGTTACTGCCTTTTTCTTCCCTCTCGTTGCTAAACTTCTCAAGAGCTTGATATACTATCTCTCCTCTTTATCTACCCCTAATCTTTTGCTTGCATCTACCAAAATAACACTAATGCTCCATGGACCCTTTTTCTGAGGTATGCCTGCATAAGGCTTTTAGGTCCTTTAGTGTCTTTGGAAATTGTGTGGAATGGGATTTAACTCAGAGACTAAATTCATAACCATTATGTTAGTGCCTCAAGACATTCTATCAGCTAATCTAATTTTTATAAAAATATATAAATACAACAAAAAGAAAGTGTTAAATTCTTTTAATGTTAAAGTTTTATTTTTCAGCATAAAAAAGATTTATTCTTCTCTGTAAGCACCTTTTAATGTTGAAGTTTTAAAAGAAATTTACCTTAAAGCATGTTTTCCAACCACTGTATTAAAAAAAAATGTATAGACTCTCCTGGCAATCTGATGAAAGCCATGGAAATGCATGTTTACACAAAATGGCATGTAAAATTTCAAGAAGCTCAAGGTCTCCCTGAATCTCCTTCATGGATTTCCAGGTTAAGATTAGAAAGACTCAAAAAGAAAACCCCACTTACTGCCTATACTCATAATTTACAATTATAGCTTTGAGTGGAAGGAGAAGAGTTGAGCAAAGGGGAAAAGGTCATTTTTCTATTACTAAGTGATACTCAATGCCTGCTAATGACATGCTAGGAAATATATAGCATTCTTTAATTATCAATAGCATAGAAGGAAAGTTAAGCAGCATTCAGCCTTAGAGTCAGACTCCTGGGTTTAGACTACAGCTCTGCCTCTCACTAGTGCTGCGTCCTTGGGCAAGTTACTTTACCCCTCTTTTTCTCTGTCTTTATTAGTAAAATGGAGATAAACAGCACTTATCTCACAGGGAGTTTGAGGCTTAAATGTGTTCCTCTGTATAAAGTATTTGGAATAGTAACTGGCACACATAGGTGGATCAGAAAATATTAGCTGTTATTATTAACCTTTAATGCTCTTCACTATCTTTGGAAATCTAAGACTTCTTATATAGTATTCTGAATATAACAGTTCTTTGTAGTGACTGTCATTGTTGAGTATTAAGTATTATACTGGGCCACAGATATAGCTCATATAAAATATAATCCAACAATCTTAAATTGGCTTTCATGGATCATATTTAAATTGTAGACATGCTTCATTTGGTTTAGTATTTGGCACAGTATTTCTTTACATTTCAAATTAGAGGCCCACATTAAACAATTTTTTAAAAAGGGGAACCCTGGGTGGCTCAGTCAGTTAAGCATCTGACTTCTGCTAGGTCATGATCTCTCTGTTTGTGAGTTCAAGCCCCATGTTGGGCTCTGTGCTGACAGCTCAGAGTTTGAAGTCTCCTTTGGATTCTGTGTCTCCCTCTCTCTCTCTGTTCCTCCCCCACTTGCACTCTGTCTCTGTCTCTCTCAAAAATAAATAAAGATTATGGGGCACCTGGGTGGCTCAGTCAGTTAAGAGTCCGACTTCAGCCCAGGTCATGATCTCACGGTCCGTGAGCTCAAGCCCCGTGTCAGATTCTGTGCTGACAGCTCAGAGCCTGGAGCCTGCTTCAGATTCTATGTCTCCCACTCTCTGCCCCTCCCCTGCTCATGCTCTCTTTCAGTCTCAAAAATGAATAAATGTTAAAAAATAAATAAATAAAGATTAAAAAAATTAAAAAAAATTTTAATCTAAAAATCCAGACTTCCAGCTTCTCTTAAGACCTAAAGATTTGGCAACATTAGACTTTATTCCTACACCAAAATGATTTACTAATTTATATAATTCTGTTGAGAAAGTAACTTCTGGTTTATTTTTTGTCCTCTCTTTCATTAGAGTAGACTAAAGAGTATGTAAATAATTTTCTCTTTCCTTTTTCTGGAAAAAAAATTAGTTTTACGGAAAACTGTCTAATCAGAAGCTAAAGATTCTCTCAAGCAAGCTTTCTCTTTATTCTTCTTCTCAGTCTTCTTTGAATCAGCAACACTGAAAATATGTATGAATGATATATACAACTTCAATTCATTCTCCTGTTCTCAAGCTAAATTTTTAAACAAACATGAAGAAAGAGCATCTGGTATCTTTCCAGTAATCTGAGAACTTAATTACCACAAATTCTTTGACATTTAAAAAAAGTATCCACCATTGATTCTGTAACACCTACATATTTTTTAGATAAATTTCCATGCCTAAGCAAGAATACTAACATATCCTTCTTTGGTGGACAGATAATTATGCTTTGCTATCAAGTATCAAGCTAACTTGATTTTTTTGGTCACTAATCTGAATTATGAGCCACGGGGATGACATGGGTAAGAGAGTATGTTGTATACTCAGCCTATATCACTGTATACACTAACATGCCTTCTGGACATACTAAATATACAACAGCATCAATTCTTCCCCTATATTCCAAGGCATAATTTTCCTTAATAAAGGTCCCTTAACAATCTAGACTATTTCTTAGAACTATCATCCATGATGCTATTTTCCAATTTATACCAACGTTTAATCTTCTCTTCCTAATGTAGCACATTTGACACATTAACTTAAAATTTCCAATGATCACAAATTTAAAAATAATTACAATTTAGCTCTCACCAGGTTGCTGTGAGAATCAGATGAGATAATCCATGTAAAAAAATTTTGAATTTAATTTTGGTTTGTAAATTTTATAAATATAGAATGAGTTAATAAGTCTTAAAAATTCTGCTCTGCCCGAATTACAAAACACAACAGACCAAAAAATAAAGTAAAATTAATAGAAGGCACAAAAAAATTTTAGTCAATTTTAAAACCACTATATAATTTTTCTGACTAATCAATACTATTATTTATGTTATACATAAATATAACAGGTTATACAATTCTGCAAATTATAATGATGCTGAATAATTTAGTAGCTCTGTTACTTGATAAGTTATTTTTGTAACACTATTTGCTTATGAATTATACTCACCAAAAGAATTTAAAATATTTCAACATGTTTTTATTTATTTATTAAAGTTTATTTATTTTGAGAGAGTGAGCACATGTGTGAGTCGGGGAGGAGCACAGAATGAGGGAGAGAATCCCAAGCAGGCTGTGCACTGTCAGTGCAGAGCCTGACATGAAGTTCGCTCTCACAAACCAGGAGATCAAGACTTGAGCTGAAATCAAGAGCTGTGCACAACCCGACTGAGCCACCCAGGCACTCCAACATATTTATTTTTAATATAATTTACTTTTTATTTTTTACAAACTAAGCACACACAACATAAAAAGTCATTTGAAAATGTTTGTTTATATGAGAGTCTAAAATTTTATTGGATTATGACTTATAGCACAGTATGAGCAACATAAAATCTTTATAAGACATTCATTTAGCCAAAAATATTAGTTTGTTAGCAAATCAAGAATCAGCTCTCAATTCTTAGGAATGAAACCATCACCTTAAAGCCAGGGGTGGCCAACTATGACCTATCTGTGAAGAATGGTTTTTGGATTTTATTAAAGCAGGAGAGAGAAGGAAATGGAAAAAGATGGGGGGGGGGGGGAGGAGCAACTGTAGCAGTAGCAGCAGCAAGAGACCATATTTGGTATGTTAAAATATTTCATTATCTGGCCCTTTTATAGAAAAAGTTTGTAACCTATGCCTTATAGTATCTATTTACAAGGCAATCAATAATCAACCAGGAATCTCTTACCTGTCCAAGAATTTGTGAAAAGGAAGTCTTAACTGTCACCTAGTTTAAAATAATCATAAAAAAAGAGGTTATTTCTCCTAAACTCTTCTAGTTCACATTTTATTAAATTGAACACTTCTGCACATCTCTAAACACAATCGTTAATTTTTTTATAATAACCAACCTAAAGGCACTTACAGTCTTAAAAGGATCCTCTGAACCAGAAATTTTAACTTGCAATAAGTATAGTTTTATTATTCAATATATTTTCCTTCTAATTCTTTGATAATTGGATGAATGCTATGGTACATGTGATAGGTAACCCTTTACTAACTAGAATTTTTGATTAACCAGAATCTTAGTATTGGGTCATATAATCTAAAGGAATTTACTGATTGAGTCCAGAAGCTATACATATGTCTGAACAATTAAGCACAAATTAACCTACTACATAACTGATATCTTAAAAACCTCAAACCTACAACTGTACAGCACTAAGTATAGTTAAGCTAAGCCAATTCTGAGTAAATTTCATAAAAACAAGTTTCACATGATATAAGACAAGGAACAAATGGAGTGTATTTGGTAAAATTTAAGCCAAAACAATGTATTAAAAAAATTCACCATTAATTATCTCTATTATAAATATACCCTTTTTGATATTAGCAAGTCTGGGAAAAGGAAATATGTATTTCATAAGGAAATTATAAAATGGCTATTTATAATACTGACTTTTTAAAAATGTAAAGTAGTTAAAAAATATTGACATTTTCAGAGTGTGCAGTACATGGAGCCAAATTATTATGCAATTCTCACTATCACTATTAGAACTATGAAGACATGTTAAAAACCATTACAGCCCTACAAAATCCTTCAATGTTAGAAACAATGAAGATATCAAACCAGTAATAAATTCCATGAAATCTAAAATAACTCATAATTTAGGTTCAACTGAAACTTGTTGCTACGAACAGATTCTATTCATGTAACCTACCAATTCTAGTTTACCCCAAGAAAGTCAATTCTAATGAAGAATCCAAATAAGGTTGATTGAAAGGAATTGCATGGAAAGAAGTTATTTCACATAAACCGGAAACCACCATTAAATGTATATATACTTCAATCCCTTAAACCTGGAATCCTTAGAACCTGGCATATTTGGATACATAGGGACTCTTGTAGTTCATGAGTCCATAAGGGTAAATGTTGCTCAAGTGTATTTCCCTTCTCTTATAGCAGAGATCTGTTGGTTGTTAAAACAAACACTAGGCACTACATTGCACATTAATGACTAACAGATTTAAAAAGCTAATGAAAAGGAAAGAAGATTCTTAAGCCTATCCAATAGAGCTGGAAACCAATACACATCATGTCAATTATTGCAGAAAAGCCGTGTCAGCTGATTTCATGATATTCTTCAATTTACAGAGGATTTTGGACCTTGGGTTTCTAAATTTAGGAGGTTAGTCTACAGTCTCAATTTTTTGCTTATTTTCTACTATTTATTAAGATGTATATTTTTAATAGTCCACCTAGGAAAATACTAGGGTGGTGCTAACAGGCAAAATGCAGAATATTTAAAGCATCATAAATGTCTATTTTGTGTATTTATTGGCTTCCACATTGCCATATATCCGAGACTAATATAAAAATATATTTCCTATTTATTCTATAACTAAATCTTAAAAAGTAAGCAAACATACAACTTACTTCATACTCACAGTCTGAAGATGTGTACATTTTTAATAATGCTACCTGGCTCTCATTGTCTGGTTGCGCAATATGGAGTTTCAGAGAAATTTCTGTGGAAGATGGTACCCTGAAAAGATAATTGAAGTATCATTTCTCAAATACAAAATACTGTTAAATAACCATGGCTAAGTCAATCCTTGCAGAACACAATGACAGAATGGAGAGGAAGACACATGTCAGACATGTTATTAAAAATGGGACACTTTTCCAATCCTATCACAGTCGTTTGCTCATTCAACTAGGAGAGAAGTTGGAGGATGGTCTAGGAAGGGGTTGATGTTCCAAGCAAGTAAGGTTTAAATTCTAGATCATTTAGGTAAGAATACTACGTTATCTTATGAGCACAATGCTACATAAAGGATAGTTACATTTTATTAAGAGGCACTTAGTTTCATTAAAATTTCACTATGATTTAAATAAAATAAACAGAATATGTATTATTCAAAAACACCAAAGTTTAAGATAAATTCTTTAATATACTTACTGTGCAATAGTTAGTGAATCCTCATAAGACCAAGGAATATGAAGTTTATAGATACTAGTTATTTCTTCTGTGAAAACATAAAGGAAATACATGTTACTAACCTTATGTTACATTAAATGTTACATAAACTACTATAATACCTAACTAACTACAGTTACCCATTTCATAAAAAATAACCAGTAAGAATTATATCACATAAGAAATTATGGAAAATTATTAACTAATAATGTTTAATTAGACTTACAAAAGATATTAAAGCATATGGGAAATACTAAGAAACTGAAAAAAAGCTAAACCTGAATTACTATAGTGAGACAGAAAGATATACAGTATTTTTAAAAAATGTGGATATTTAAACTGATACAGTTGAAGATGCTTAGTGTTAACAAAGGGTCTGTGTTAAATCTGTTGGAAACATAAACAGTTTTTCTACTATCATTTAATTTTAATTCACATAAATACACAAAATAATAAGCACTACAGAAAATTCAAGTAAAGACCTACTGATTCTTCAAATGACAATACTATTCTTCTCAGAAAATACACTTACCTTTTACTCCTGAGCACTTGCTCACTACGTTGATTATAAAAGCTTGGTATATCTAATAAGCGTATGACCACAAAAACAAAAAAGTAAAAGTTTATTTGTTTGCTTAATTACATAGTAAAGTAAAATCAAATCCTTGTTATAATCAGGATAATTACCTGTCCAAAGTTTAGAAGTTCTATATTATAAAACAGGCCACTTGTATTTAATAACACTTTCCTTGAAGAGAGTCCTGTTGAATTGAAAGCATTGTATTACTTAGAACACCAAAAAATTTTTTTAAAAAGTACTGATTGCTTAATAATGTTAGCACATTTTTAATCTTAAAAAAAGAGTGTAGGGGCGCCTGGGTGGCGCAGTCGGTTGGGCGTCCGACTTCAGCCAGGTCACGATCTCGCGGTCCGTGAGTTCGAGCCCCGCGTCGGGCTCTGTGCTGACGGCTCAGAGCCTGGAGCCTTGTTTCAGATTCTGTGTCTCCCTCTCTCTCTGCCCCTCCCCTGTTCATGCTCTGTCTCTCTGTGTCTCAAAAATAAATAAACATTAAAAAAAAAAAATTTAAAAAAAAAAAAAAAAAAAAAGAGTGTAAAGATTTTTATTTCTGGTATGGAGGAGTGAACTAAAAATCCTATCCTCCTTCAATAAACTCTAGATAACATTTATAATGTATGTATTTTAAAAAGTCAAGTATAAACTTCCAATTTCAAAAAGGTATGCTTTCTTGGTAGATCTCTTAGAAGTTTGTTATCTTTAATGAGATGAGTGATTCAGAGTTTCCTTTTTACCAAAAATAAATAAACAAACAAATAAATAAGGTGGGTGAGGGATAAAAATCTAAAGGAAAAGGAAGTTTCCTCTCTCAAGTAACAGATTCTTTAAACAAATGGAATACTAAAAAAATATATTTTAAGAATGGGTCATGCCAAAAGGGTAAGGAGCCAATCTAAAATGAGCTCTTAATATCCAATACTGGAACAACTTAAAAAAAAAAATGTAATGATAGTATTAAATTATAATCCAATGAGCCTGGGTGGCTCAGTCGGTTAAGCAGCCGACTTCAGGTCATGACCTTGTGGTTCACGATTTCTAGTGCCATGTCTGAGGCCTGTTTTGGATTCTGTGTCTCCCTCTCTCTCTCTGCCCCTCCCCCGCTTGTGCTCTTTCTCTCAAAAATAAATAAAAACATTTAAATATAATAGAATGAATAAAGTAAATATCCATGAGTCATACTGACATAAATAAAAACTGAGTAAGTAAATAGAGAAGGGACAACTTTACTTTCACAAAAATTATAATACAGAATACCAGTAATAATTGCCTCAGACTAGAAGAACCAGGGGTGCCTGATGGCTCAGTTGGTTAAGCATCTGACTTCGGCTCAGGTCATGATCTCGTGGTTCCTGAGTTTGAGCCCCACATGGGACTCTCTGCTGACAATGCGGAGCCTGCTTGGGATTCTCCCTCTCCCTCTGTTTCTGCCCTTCTCTCTCTCTCTCTCTCTCTCAAAATAAATAAACTTAAAAAAAAAAAGGATGCTAAAATTAGTGGGTTATTTTGAAGATAAACAGGGTACTTAAATATTCTCAAAGTAGTCCCCCCAAGATATTTATTAAATACAAAAAGGAAACGAGTAAATTTACAGTGGAGAAACCTGGCAGACACTACCTTAACCAAGTAATCAAGGTTAACGTTGCTAGTTATGTGTGCAATGATATGATACACTGAGATGTACGCATCGCTTTGGTGATATGTTTGTTAAAAAAGCACAATCTTAATCTAATCATAAGAAAGCATCAGACAAATCCAAATATTTGATATTCGATATTCTATAAAACAACTGACAACTACTCTTCAAAAGGTGTCAAAGTTATGAAAGACAAGGAAAACCTGAGGCACTATCAAGACTAGAAGAGATGATGGGGTGCCTGGGTGGCTCAGTCGGTTGAGCATCTGACTTTGGCTCAGGTCGTTATGTCATGATTTGTGAGTTTAAGCCCCACATTGGGCTCTCCGCTTTGGACCCTCTGTCTCCCTCTCTGTCTCTGTACCTCTCCTATTCACGCTCTCCCCCTTAAAAATAAATAAACATTAAAAAAAAACAACAAAGACTAGGGGTGCCTGGATGGCTCAGTCAGTTAAGCGTCTGACTCTTGGTTTCAGTTCAGGTCATGATCTCATGGTTCATCATTTAGAGCCCTGTGTCAGGCTCTGTGCTGACAGCTCAGAGCCTGGAGCCTGCTTCAGATCCTGTGTCTCCCTCTCTCTCTCTGCCCGTCTCCCTTTCACACTCTCTTTCTCTCTTTCAAAAATGGATAAACATTAAA